ATGATCAATTTAAACACAGAAAAAGACAGTTAATGAGTCGAATAAACCAAATGTTTAGCACAGATGGACACATGTTAGGAAGGAGAATACTGACCATATAATAGGTAGCTTCCAAAGCTTATCATTTTCATTTATCTCGTCGTAGCAATACTTTTTAAAAACATATCCGTAATAAGAAAACAAACCTAACAGACAATGATTTAAAAAATTATCTGTACTGATGAACTGTAAAATAACAAGAATAAGGTACTTAGTTATCAAGCCAGTTTCTGTTAACCAATTCAAACTGTAGTTTTAAGGTGACGAAATAATAGTAATGATACCTAAAAGGAAATCATTCAATGGCACCTACTTATATACACAAGATTACTCCTAACAACAGAGCCCTGCAACAAAACTCATAGGTAGATGCACTTATACAACAAAAACCACAAACAATGAATAGTTTAATTAGACCAGCTAAAAATGGAGAATAACAAGCTTACACTAAACCGGTACACCAGTATATATGAATGACTACGGATCTGGCAAAAGTATGAGCTAAGAAGACTGGTGTGCCAGCAAGGTATAGCTACTTTTTAAGTAAGACTAGAAGGATGAAAATCAGCAAGTCACAAGAACAAGCTATGCAAAAGACCAAAGGAAGATCGACAGGAAAAATGAATAAAGCTTCATATACTTGATGCTTTTTTAAGTTCCGAAACAGATACAAGGTAAAAAAGAAAGAGAAGCACAAAAAACTTCGAGAAAATGTCACCAAGATGAAATGAACGAAGATAGATCATAAAATTTCAAGTGTAATGTATCAGTCTCGAAAAAACGATGTGATGAGAGGCTTCCAGGTTACCTAAATTTGTAAACAAGTATTGTGATGATAACCATGAGTATAAATTTTCGAATTCATATTTCCGCATGACCTTTACTATTCTCTGACTGATTATTGACATTTTCAGCTTGTTCGTTTTTTTTGTGTCCTAGGGACATGTTTGGGTACTATGGCTATGCAATTGCTCCACTTTGATGTCATCTTCGGTAAATATCAAATTATCCTATACTCGATCTTTTTCCCTGTGTTCCTTCCTAATCGATGATAATTTTGAAGTGCTGCATGTCAATTGACAATCCACCAAATACCACTTAGATCGAGTTCATTTTTGAAGACCTACAACCGTTTGTAAACAAAGTTTGCAGTTAGACGCGTACATCCGATTGAGAAGTCCCAAATGGGATGAATTACGCGTCCTAGATCCCAGTGATAGCCACATCCTATCTATTCTATATCACCATTTAAATACTTCGCATTACTACTAATTAGTGACCATATGACGATTTACTTCAATAAATATATCGCTGTTGCAACAAGTTATAATTGTTACATAAATATTTCCTCAACAAAACAAACTGAAAATAATCCTTAGACGACTAAATATTAAGAACAATGTCCAAGAAAATTAAATCCGGTAGATCCAGATAGTCAAATCTCTTCATCAAAGCACGGGTAGATTTAGACATTCAACCTCGTTCGGTAATATCATACAAGTTTGAAGATTATTTTATTTTCCTAGTTAAACCTCCAAACCATTGAATATCAGCTAAGTGGTCTAGAAGTTGAACTCTCATATGCAAAACCGAGGGTCCTGAATTTGACCCCCGGTGGCGAAGTCGTGAATGCATATTGCTGAGTCTCATTAGATAGCAAAACAGATGTCCAGTGATTCCTGGGATTCATTGGTTGTTTAATTAAAACTGTACAAGTATATTCAATAGAATATTATTTATATTACCCCCCCTAGAGCGAAATAAGTTAGCCATCTAAATAAATTTTAAGAGAAAACAATTCCAATTCATACATATATGTAGTGTGACATAATTATTAACTATGTGAACGAATAATCAATTCATATGAAGGTCAGTTAATGAGTTGATCATTTATATTCTCTAATAAATATACTCAATAAAATGCCAAAAATCAATATGAAATTTGACTTTGTATAAAAGTTTTCTAGGGTGAATACTTGCGTTTGTTGAAGACCTAGCCATATGAAAGTTTTACATACACACACCCCAACACATTGTTGAAAACAATGGTAAACAATGATAAAATTAACTAACTATCGAGAATGGATAATTATGATTATGTACAAACGTAAACTGATGACTAGTTTCGAAAAGTAATTTCTAGAGCAATAGTGAGAAGCCACGACCAGTGGGGTTCAATCACATAGGTGTGAGACTGTTACCCACAAAGATACTACAAGATAGTTGTGCAATAACGCGAATTGATCGGAAGGTCTTGGATTTTATCCCGATGAGGTTGTGAATGTATATTTTTGAGGAGTCCTATATTAGGCCGGAGCAGCTGTTCAGTGCTTTCTAGTTTTCAATGGTTATCCAAACAAGCGCGGTTAGTGATGTGTAAATTATAAAATTAAACGATCTCAAAAGTCTCCCTATAGTCAAATATGATGACATTATTGGCTGATAAAGACTATTTAGATCATTGATTCAAACTTTTTATAATCAAGTAATGAGATTTGTGAAGATAGTGTAATTTGAAACTAGTTTTCATACCAAACTGACAAGAACTGCAAAACCATTTGAAGCTACATATCATAGCAGTTTAGAAGCTAAACACGAAGTAATAAGAACCAAGAAACTTCACATTACACAATATCTTCTTAACCAGTGGACATCAAAATCCACCAGTCTACAGCACCATTAATTTTAGTCAATTCAAAATGATAAAGGGAACTATGTGTATGAAATTAACTAAATATACGATTGCGCAGCTTTAGGAAATGAGATCGTCTTCTTCATCGAACTGTTGATAAGAACCGAATAACTGAATGATTAACTGGTGATTTAATAACATACTCCTTATTATTCAGGTTTTGGAAATGTTGTCCAGAATGAAAACAAAAACTATCATACCATCTAGGTCACAAAAAAATAAAACCACGTAAATGGAAGAATAGATTGTCATTGGGGAGATAATATATGATCTGAACTATCTATGTTTATCTTATCACTTACTGTTTGAGTCATTTTACGTCTACCTTGGACAAATAACACTGAATACGCGAATCGAATGTGAACTGGACAGATGACAAAAGACGAACTCGAACCATGTCTATTAATAAGAGCATAAAAACGCATAGAAAAACGTTCGCGTTCGTTAGATTAAAACCTCAAATCTAGAAGCTACGCTTTTTACGCAATAGTAGCTTCACTACATAAAATCACAAACTACGAGATTAAGTAGGGACACATACTTGTAGCCTTGTCGTGTCACAGTTATATACCATTGACCTCAATTGCTGTTCGGCACACTGCATCATGAGCATTAATTATTCGGCTAATTATTTGCTTCTGTTGGTACATTTCGTTTCAGTAGGAAAATAACGACTAGCCTATTTATAATCATGAGAACACTTGACACATTTCACAATGAATAAAATTGCATACACTTAAATGAAGCATGACGATATAGTCATTCTGACAAGGTGTGAACACCAGACATCACACTTCTGTACTTACATGTGTCTTGAGCCCAAAAGTATTAAGTGAGACATGATAATACAAGCACACCATTACACAAAACCAACTGGGTACTGAATATACGAGCCACTTGATGTATGTGTTGGCTGTGATACTCTTCGTGTGCCCGAACCGAAGCAAGTGGCCTTCGACCTAATGGTCTTATCCACAAGGCAGTGGAGCAACATTAGGAGATGCGGTCCCACGGTAGCAGATGACCGACATTTGCTTCATACACTCGTTTTTCCTTCAGGATCCTGGAGTCTATGTGCAATATTGGTTTAGAATCAGGGTTTCCCGACTCTTCTAGATGAATCCACCGTGTCCACCGACCCTGTTAAAGCACCGGACATTTGCTTTCCATCCTCCCAATTTCGTAAACAACAGCAATACCGCGAGAAGACAGTGAGTAGGACTTCCCTGTCAGTGGCTGTATACGCGAGGCCATGTGAGAGCATTTCGACAGGGAGAGTGGACTATCCTCACACTGCCGTACCAGGGCATTTGGGGGATAGGATATATATACATAAACCAATGATTTGTGTACATCTTTATTCGGTCGACAATTCAGACACCCTATTCTTTCTTGTTCTTCTCAATCAAATAAATGGTTGGACAAGCGTTTAGGAAGCGTATATTCTTGTATCCAAAACGAACAATCATAGTATGTGATACTCGTTGCCATCTCACAACAGTGTTTTCTATATGTGATTTTTGTCAATTACATAGTGCCTTGTTATAAAATAAAACCAAGAAGCACTATAAACAAGAAAGATCAAATTTTTAGAGGAACTCAGGGTGTATTATTAATAGTCTTTCTCTTCAATACTCGATCCCAAATACGTTATGTGTTATTCTTACGGAAGTATAGTAATTGTAATTATCTTTCATATTTTTAAAAAAGGGTGTTTTGTGCACATCAGCAATCACACTTACAAATGTGAACCAGTTGTCTGAACATACGCATACACACGCGTACTTAAATAAACAAACAGACCCCTTTCCAAGTACACAGCAACCGACTGCTGGCTATTGTCTGACTTAACCCTACTGTAGTTTATTATACAAAATAAAAAAGATGGGCAAAAAGTCAGACGCAGTTCTCCTCCGACAGTGAGAGAGAGAGATAGATAGACGAGTCACGGAGCTCGTTTGGTTCCACGCGATTTTTCGTGATAATTATGCAAACAATGATGTATACATCCAGATGCTTTTACCTATATACATACACACATGAATAAATTGAATAATCGATAAACAAAAATCTCTAATGTAATAGTTTTGGTTATGCGTGAAGAACGTGAACAATAGTGGAAAAAGAAATCCAAACTATAAACACACATATACGACATACAACTAGATACAATACATACAAACAAATCTTCAATGTATAATGTACAATACACAAAACTATTACACTACACGTGAAACAACTAAAATTTAAACTAGAAAAAAGAACTAACTCTGTTGGCGTAGACCACTTTTCATCCTGAGGATCCAATTCATCGATATTTACAGTAGTAATAGCAGTTCTTGCTATACTGTTACCGATATTATTGTTACTATGACAATTGATACTGTTACTGCTCTGTGCCAAATTGTTATCATTATCGTTAGTAGTATAGTGATAAACATGTTCATTCAAGCCATTACTATTATCAATGGTAGAAATATCATTAGTTCCACTGATTGTATTAAAAGAAATATCTGATGTAGGAGTATGATTGGAGGGATTCACATGTGATAATAACATAGATGATGATAGCGATGGTAACGATGACGATGGTAAACATGTTTGTGACAAAATTGTCTCTATGTTCGATGTCTGTTCAAACAATGCCAACATCCCATTGATTTCTGTCAAACTGATATTGGTATGATGTGTTAGTCTGTTGTTTTTTCAAAGTGAAAACAATGAAAACTTAGTACTAGAAGATATAAATAAGTAATATAATTAAAGCAATACCAAGTATGATTTGTGTAAAAGACTACAATTAATGTTATCATTAATGACTGATTACTGAGTAGTGACATTGTTTGTTTAGTCCTTAAGTGCTGATTGAAATCTGGCCACTAATCCAAGTGACTCAACGTAGTGTACAGATGTTTGAAGATAGTCGACAGGAAAGCCTGAACTAAAGATTCGTTATAGTTTCCCCTCGTCAGCATGGCACACATATACAGTTTTGAGTTTTGGAATCCGTGTCACTAAACTAAACAAATATGAAATTCGTTACTATGTGATGATCAATAAATTATAAACAACTCATTCCTATAGGTCAACTCACGGCTTAAATATCTCAACGATAACGTCTCGAACTGTGAACCTGGATGACAAGGGTTCTAAACCCACAGGGAGCATCGATTCCCTCGGAAATAAAGCTACACCTTCCCGATTAGTGCTAAACAATGCGGAACCTTTGTTCAGGATTTCTTGTCGACAGTCAACTAACATATTGGCATTATCTTGAATTTTGGACAATCATAATCTAATCATTGACTTTTAACAGCTGTGTTAAATTCTATATGATAGAAAAGTTGATAAAATAGGCTTAAACTCAGGCTAGATCTTATTGATAATGATAAGAAAGAAAAAATTCGATGAACCAATTTTTGTGAGGTTGTTTAAGGTTGTGGTATTGAGACATCATTATTGATTTACATTAAGAACAGAAGCGAAAGATTATCGGCTGTTTTGTTATGCATCATTTTGCTGGTACACCTTATATAAAGTAAATTTCTTAATATTTAGTCAGTTGGTCAGCGGTTCTGTCTTCCCAGATTTACAGAGTTAAGATTTGTGGATCGACTTCTTGAGTGCAATTATCATACTGATCATAACAGAAATCTCAATAAATTATTGATCTATTCAACTATGCTGTCGTAACACTCGTGATAGACATGATATTAGAAGTTGAAAAAATGTACCGGACAATGGTATCCCCAGTGAATTTTTACTCAATATACACTGAATTCTGGAAAAACTAAAAAAAGGAGTTTACGTAGCTTCAGTCACGGTTACTAAAAATATAATCCAGTGCATATTGGACGGAAACCAGTTCACAAAAGAGAAAGCATGGTATGAGAAGGAGGCAATCAGAAACCTAGAAGTGATGTTGATTTTTGTGAGAAGTTCAAAAATGAATGACTTTTACCTTAAATCGAATAAAATATGTGGTGGCAAATATCTCTGTACATTGCTCAGAACGCTGAAATAAAATGTGATTAGATGAATGTTCTGGAGTTATCTGGATGACCTTATATGTGGTTGGTTTTCCGATTTGTCTTTTTCCCACAAACTAATCATTTGCATTAACTGTTTCCTAATTAGCTAACATCGGGCAACAAATCGTCGTGATTATTTCAAGAATCGTTGAAAATCACTCTAATACTATAACTGTTTACAAGAACTATTTAAACTGTCGATTGTTACCCTTCAAAAAAAGATATGTCTTTCAGACTTTGAAAAAGGGAAAAAGTATATTACTTATATCGTGCATTCCTTTGGAAATCAAGCAGCAGTTGAAGTGTACAATTCGTATTATGTGATACACATGATTTTAGATCACTAATATGGAAGATAATGGGAATTCTAGTGAGTTTCGAAAGCCTCCAACTAGTCTAAACTTTCACTTGCCGCAGACCCTATATTAACTTTTGGGGCAGGTTATACATCAGTTATAAATAAAGAATCATTAGTCTTGGGATTGTAAGCCTACGTAGTTATTTCAACAATTGGAAAGTAAAACGAAGGATCTACAAGCCATTAAAAAAAACATTTAAATAACAAACTGATACCATAAATCAGTAATTTCATTCTTTGATGAGTCAACGTTTTAATAGAAACATCGGAAGCCACTAAGATGAAGACCGAACCAGCCGATTAGTTACAAGACAAAGATTATATACCAGCAGTGATTCAGCACTGATTGACTTTATCCAGCTCCAAGTAAAATGTCAAGTTTCTCAACAGTCATAAAAATGGGTATATCATGCATAAATCACCAGCTTAATTACTGACACCCTACAGTTAATACTGATGGGTAGTGATTTTAAACAACTACACTGAATTGTAGTAATATGCAACTGATGAGCTCTATAAGAAAAACCACCAGTTCATATTCGATGTGACTACTACAATACTGTCACATAAATATGATGCATACACAAATATATAAATCCACCAAAGATATCAAAAAGGAATATTTTGTTCAACTATACAATCTGGGCAACAGCTTTAAAGTTTCACACAAAAAATTTTCAATTGGTAATCTATATCACAAAGTTTACACTTCTTTTTGTGTTCTGAGATTCCCTACGGCTGACAAGATATAAGAGGTTTGGAGGGGATTAATAGCAGGGTTTATTTGCTTAGTGTACACAAATCGGTGAGTGTACTGTACAGTCAATTTGAACTGAGTGAAATAATTCCGAGATTTCGTGTGAAACTCATAAATGATTGACCATTATCCTTTATCACATTGAATGTGCGAGAGAAATACCAGTAAAAGTATACTTTAAGGAATAGCCTAAAAATCCGGGACGAATTTCCAGCCAGTTCTCAGTTAATCAGTAAACACATTTTATAATTAGTTTATGAGGAAGAAAACAGTAGCATCATAAAGTATGGACTGAATTACGTAATTAATAAGTCCATTGATGTCTTCTACAGGTTACTATGTTTGTAAATCGGAAAAACCACAACATATAAACTCGTCCTTATGGGAGATAGATTGTCCACTTTTTCGGACTCGTATAAAAACCCAAACGGATTTTCGAGTCCCCACAATGTTCCTGGTTAATGTTAAATATTTAGGGTAAGGTTTAAGGGTTTAGGGTTGGAGTTTGAGATGTTGGACATTAGTTGTAGTGTCGAATTTTACGATAGACATATGGTTGAATAAATTTCATCCAAAACTACAAGAGGTGCTATCTGATTAGTTCATCCATCAAATGAAGTGTTACCAGGTTAGGGTGTGTTTCAGTATTAAGAGCTTAATGATAAGGTCTATTTGCCTATTATATACAACCTAAGGAAAAAAATCAAACATTTAATGCGTTTAACACTACCAATTTTACTCTGCTGTAGTAAAAATAATTTTCCACCATTGTTTTCAATGTTTCGAGCAGTATATAAATGTACTTTTACTGCTCGTCAAATATGATATTTGAATTCTGCGCAAAAAACCTAGACGCCACGCACTCGATTGTGATTAGCTTGCCATTTTATTAATGATTCATTGAATAATAGGTGAGTTGGTGAAGTAGTAATGTTAAAATCGGTAACCATTTCTACACATCGATAGGGTGACAACGACAGTTCTACAATAAGACTGTTCATGACTGAGAAACATTCAAGACAGAAATTATTAGCGTGAAAAAATTCGCACTCATGTCAATTCTATTGTGTGAAGTTATCTTATAGATGTAACGATGCGAAATCAGATACCTTGAAATATAAATAAGCTTCCTAAAACCACTAAAATTTGACTTTTATTATGAAATACTTTTGATCCATACAAACTCTCTGCTCATTGGCTGGACACTACTTCCATGACCACATAGACATCATAAGAATCACTCATGGTTATCTGCATTCTACAGTTTTACTCATAAAACACGAGTACTTATACATTTTTCCTCCGTGGCCTAAACACAACGTGAGCTGAAACCTTCTTCTAACAGCATCTCCCTTTACTGTAACGTCTCGCCTAATATTTGGCCTTGAGACGACACATGAACCATCTGACTTTTACAAAAGCAAGAGGTATTGTAGTGAACAGAACACCAGTGGGGGACAATCGAATGAATTTAACAACAAATTACAGAACTAGTTAGAAAAATCCAACAACCATATATTAAATCGTTAATTTGCAAATTGTTCATCAATGTCTCAAATGACTCAGAATCCCTTTGTTCTTTCATTTTCATACAAATTGCATTCTTCCTTCATTCTTTATTGTTCGATTTTCTCGTCTCTCTGCTGCCAGACATTCTGTTCACGACTCACGTCATATACTACTTATGTCTACATAAGTACCACACACGACTATATATATATATATATATATATATATATATATATATATATATATATATATATATATATATCCAATCTAACTTACTCCCGCGAGATTTAGATCCTCATTTTGACATTCACTCAAAGTGAAGACATGGAACTTTTTTTTAAAAAAGCTGTTATAATGAATGCTTGTTAATAGTATCACTCTCAAATACTGACAATTTGTTTCCTCGAATATAACTTGAGGACTAGATATCTATATCAACACAGTAAATGGATAATTTGGAAATGAAGTGACATAAGTTACAAATTCCTACAAAGATGGGTACTCACGACACCACATGGGATCGATGAAGAAAGAAAATCACTATTCAGTCATAGAGCTGGAATACAACGATTTATATCTTTTTGTATGGTGTTTATACATATTATAACCAATGGGGCCAATTATTGTTTTACTTGTCATTCCCTTTTCCAGCTTCACTTAGTACATCACCAAATGCTAACGATAACACGCGTACGCTTAACATTTCACGATTCGCTTTATGACTGGTTGTTCTAAGTGACCTAGACTTAGTGGAAGAATTTATCTGTCATAATCGGTTGCGATTTAATTGTTCAAGTTATATCGCTTGAACTGTTACCTTGTTGAATTAGCACTTAATCAACCATCGTTAATTTTTTGGTTGTACTGTCATTAAATGATGTTGACATTATCAAGCTCAATATGTTTGTCTTATTCCAATCTAACTAAAAAGATTTGTCAAACATCTTGTTCCTGGTCATGTTCATAACTAAAAGCTGAACATGAGCAAGTTAGAGAAAACAGAATTTTAGAGTTAAACCTTGAGACAGAAAAATTTGATG